ACCTTGCCCGTACCATCAAAGATGGAAGGGAAAGGTATATTAAGGGAAAAATTTTGTTCGCGTTGTCGTCGTCGTTGTTGTTGTCGTCGTCGTCGTTAATAATTGTTATTGTGTGCATAATAACTTTACTAATTCTATTCCAAACTTTATCAAACTTGGTCACCTTATTCATCAGTATAAAGTCTTCCCTGAGTTTGAACAACAGATGTCCTGTATGAAAATATCATGCAAAAATTGAGAAAATCTGATAAAATATTTTGACTGTTTCTACTTGACTGATCACTGGTGATACACATCAAAGGTCACTGATCTCAGTGGAAATATGCATTGTTGTATGTGTTCAATGAAGCAAATATTTATCTTGTAATAATATCCTTGGTAATGTATCTCAGAATCCCATACTGGGTTTCAAAACCAACTCATGGAGAGATTGCACAGTCTGATACACATTTGCAAACCTACCAATAAAATCTTTACAGAAAACAAGATGTCAGAAAATCAATATAAGCACTCCTATGAACTGGGTGCCTAACTTTGATCAAGATCTGAAGCTAATAGAAAATCTGTTTAGTTCAAAGTTATCAAATCAAAAACAATACATAAAAAATACATTAAAAGCAAAACATTTCATCCACATTTTAAAAAGAAAATTATTCTAAAATATATGTATTCTGTATTTGACAAACAGTTCATTCGACAAATGAAAACTCGCAGGAATATGTTTCAGCTATTAGAACAGAATGATAGAGTTTTTATAATACTAGTTTAAAAACGCACTTCAAAGATTGCAGTGTTTGAAGATGTAGATTCTCAGGAGGCAACAGTACTGTTGACTTCTCCCTCCACTGGACACCAACTATTTAAGTTGATTTGCATACAAAGCAGAGCTTGCAACATGATAGCTATTCATAAATGGTGTTTTTTTCCTTTTCATATAATACAGTAGTCACACAATGAGGCAGTTCATATTTGTCTCAGTGAATCATTCATTTTTGACAGACACCTGTACAAAATACTTGGACTAAAGCCAGCTAAATTTTTCTGTTATCTTGCATGTTTTATGAATCTATTCACATCTAAATGCAGCACTTTTTTTTTGCAATGAGACATTTGTTTTTATTCTAAAATATCTGAATTACTTTGAATAAAGCTGGAAATTATGTTCCTTAAAATAATTAAACAAATAAGGCATCAATGTTTTTGTAAGATATTTACATCTTTTAAGGACATTCGGTAGACTGATTCCCCACTGTTGGTTCAACCCCAAAACTTGTTTGTATTCAAAATTAATTATGACAATGCATATTTATATTGAAACAAACTATGATAAAGGGAATTATATAACAAAGGGCAAGGCCACCAGAGTTCAACTATGTTATTGGGTTGATAGGTACTTGCAGGCACATTCATCAGTGAGAAGGGAACCAGTAGCCTATTTTTATTGGGTTGAATGGTACCTGCAGGCACATTCATCAGTGAGAAGGGAATCAGTAGGCTATTTTATTGGGTTGAATGGTACCTGCAGGCACATTCATCAGTGAGAAAGGGAACCAGTAGGCTATTTTTATTGGGTTGAATGGGACCTGCAGGCATATTCATCAGTGAGAAGGGAACCAGTAGGCTATTTTTATTGGGTTGATAGGTACCTGCAGGCACATTCATCAGTGAGAAGGGAACCAGTAGGCTATTTTATTGGGTTGATAGGTACCTGCAGGCACATTCATCAGTGAGAAGGGAACCAGTAGGCTATTTTTATTGGGTTGATAGGTACCTGCAGGCACATTCATCAGTGAGAAGGGAACCAGTAGGCTATTTTTATTGGGTTGATAGGTACCTGCAGGCACATTCATCAGTGAGAAGGGAACCAGTAGGCTATTTTTATTGGGTTGATAGGTACTTGCAGGCACATTCATCAGTGAGAAGGGAACCAGTAGGCTATTTTATTGGGTTGATAGGTACCTGCAGGCACATTCATCAGTGAGAAGGGAACCAGTAGGCTATTTTTATTGGGTTGATAGGTACCTGCAGGCATATTCATCAGTGAGAAGGGAACCAGTAGGCTATTTTATTACCAGCATCATATGTTAATATTTTAATGTTGGAAACATTGTGTCTCTTTTCAGAACTTGCAAACAGGACTCCAACTAGTACATCGATTGTTGCTGGACCTAGTGGTATTAAGACGGGAGTGACTGCCACAGCCTCCTCATCAAGTCAAGGACACTTACATGATTCAGGAATTGCCAGTAGTCAGGGATCAGCATCGCCATTGGCAACACCTCTTTCACAGCCCATGAGCACAGATCAAGAGGTTGCTATGGTTACAGGTGGAAATTCACAGGCTTCTCGAGCATCAAGTTTAGGATCATTCTCGGACATGGCCCCTTCACGGGGAGCTACAGACACTCCATCTTCAGAGTACATGGATTCAGATGATTCTTTTGGCAATGGTGATTGAATGACCTTTGTCTTATTTTGTTATTTCGTTTGCATGTTGATGAATTTGTGGAGAATTGAAAAAGAATGCTATTGTTATAGTAACTAGTTTTGAGGTATGGACTGCCATTTGAAAGACCCTGTAAATGGTAACAAAAGACCTATGAACACATTTGTTATAAATACAGTTTATTACAATAATAAATTGGCTAATCAATGCAATGGACAGAAATTAACCAATAAGAAAACATTGTTTACTGCAGCTGTTTAAAAAAGCAAACCAGAAAGATATATGTTTAAAATACGAGTGAAATGGACTGATTGGCAGAAGGTAATGAAGGACAGTACTGTTTATACAGTATTTGATGTTTCAAGGATGTTCTGGGTTTTTTATGAGAAAAAATAAATATATTCCATCTTTTTTTAGAGGTAGAACAAATTATATTAGCTCAGAAAGAAAAATATCTGTACAAAAAAAACATGAAAAGACTGCGTAGCACCTGTATTTTAATAATAGATTGTTCAAAGTTTTGTAAGTCTGGCAAATATGTACTTGCTATTTGTGAGTACATGCATGACAGATATGCATGTTACCTTTTATGTTGTGATATTTTGCAGTGTTACAAAATTACCCTCAAAGTTTCTAATCAGAAGCTCGCATTTGAATATATTTTATCCATTTACTGCAGTTCTTATGCATATTAAATAAAATAGTGCAGGATCTATGTCATGATTCAGTATAATGCTGTATGCTGGTTACATTATATAACTACCTGTCTGCATATTGAATACAATTATTATACAATAGTGCAGGATCTATGTCATGATTCAGTATAATGCTGTATGCTGGTTACATTATATAATTACCTGTCTGCATATTGAATACAATTATTATACAATAGTGCAACATTCATGTTTTAAGCAATTTATTCTCCATTGCTTGTTAAGTATAAGGTAATTATCATCTTGGTATGATGCAGAAAAGAAGTCATTCTGTCGTAAATGTATCTTTATCACTAAGTTTCATCCCCTTTCCCAAAGAATGGAATAATTTTATTTCAAGGCAGGTGATACAGGAGATTAGGACCACTTAATTATTACATAGCGGTGATAGGTCTCTTTTAAATGGGATAGATGTGTAGTTGCTATACATAGCTGTATTGTTTCCATTTACAGGAAACTTATCTTTTAGCCATTGTAAGTTGAACAATGCTCTATTGTTCTTGCTTAAAAAGACTGCTTTATAGTTTTCTTTCCCATTTTTTTTTTTCAAATAATGTATAAGAGACTTGTTTTGAACTCACCCCATGTATATGTACAGTATTAAAACAGAATTCAGTCTTGAAGTGTAAATATACCAATTTTTTGCAGTCTACTATCATATTGTATTGTCTCTCAGTCTACCTATCGTACAGCCAAATGTGAAAATCAGAATACCATAAAAAGCACTGCTTGTTAGTCCCCGTTCGGACGTAGTCCGAAAACGGGGACTTACGGTTTGCCCTGTGTGCGTCCGTCCGTCCGTGATCACCTGTATCTCGGACATGCATGGACCGATTAAGTTCAAACTTCACTCATATATCACACATTATATGGGACATATGCACATGCATTTTTTTCATGATCCGATTAACGATAGCCGAATAGCGGCCATTTTAAGGCCGAAAATGC